GTGTCACAGACTGTTTCCTCTATGTAGCCTGAGCTCTCACAGAAACACCTGGTGCCACTTCCTTTCCTCGTCCCTCCCGCCTGCTGATCCCCTGTTCCCAACATCATCTTCTTGGTAATGGCAACTGACACCCTTCTGTAGGGGAATCCCTTGTCTCCCTGGTAAACTAAGATTTAGGCACAGAGCCTTGGGATGTATCCCATATAGATAACTCATCCTACCAGGTGGAAGTGACCCCACTGTTGCCATAGCTCTTGGGTCCTGGTGCTTTTCCACTAGAAACATCTGCAAGTTCAGTGCTTCCTGCCACCCATACAAATTGGGATCCATTGGCATAAAGCCACTAACTGGTCCTGGAATTATCCTGACCTGTGGGGGCGAGGGGAAACCTGGGGATTCCTGGTATGTGTCCATGGTGTGCACACAAGTTTTTTGTTTTTTTTGTTTTTTTTACAAAGGGTACATGAGAACACTCCTGGGCTCCTGTTCTATTTCAACTTTCCAAACTGATTTTCTGACCCACAGCTGGAAGCACACTACCCAGGACACAGTATCTTGGGAAAGGGTGGGATTGTCAGGCACTGGGATTTGTACTGGGATTTAGATGATTCAAAAAATACTTTCCCCTCGGATGTGCTGTTTACTCTTGCTGTTTGCAGGTAGGAGTTTTCATTACTTTAATCCCTGCCTGACATTTCTTGCTATTTGCTGGCCTCATGGGTAACGCACAGACAGAATACACATTCAGCATGCCTGCATACACTTTCTTTCTGACTGTAATTGCCTGTGTCACCAGCACTCAGAAGTTACCACTCCAGCTTGTGTGGGTTCCATCCTGTGCGCGGAATACTCCTGTGCCTGGCTTCCTCTCCTTAGCCTGTGTAGGATTCATCTCTTTACCACGAACAGCCAGTTTTCATGTGCTCACAGTGTGGCTACTATACCAGTTGTTCATCCATTTTCCTTGCAGAGGACATTTGGGTTGTCACAGTTTGTCATTGTATAAGAAGTGCTGTGAGGGGTTCTGGTCTGCATACTTGCTTTTCAACTTGACATTGGGAGGAAGAGGCATGAGGATGAGGAGTTCAAGGTCACCCTCAACCGCATTTTGAGTTTGAGGTCAATCTGGGCTATGTGAGGCTTTGTCTTGAATAAACCACCACTACCAAAAGAAAAAAAAAAAAAAAAACATATCTAGGGCTGGGGCGGCTGCTCAGTGGATGAAGTAAGTGTTTGCCATGTAACCGTGAAGACCTGTATTCAGATCTCCAGCACCCATGTAAAAGCTGAAACTGGTGGTGGCTCCCTGTAAATCCTTCAAACATTTCCTACATTCCCCTCGGGCAGGCAGGTCCCCAGGGTTTTCTGGTTAGCCAGTCTAGCCCAAACGGGCACGCTCCAGTTTCAGTGAGCAACCATATCTCAAAAATTAAGGTGGAGAGAATAGACATCAACCTCCTGACCCCACAAGTCACGGGCACATGTATGTGTGCTTGCACACATACACAAATAATATAATAATTTAAAATATACTGGATGTTTCTATTGGGAAAATACACAAGGCTAGAGGAGACTCGAACACCATTGTTGCCAGCTGGGCCTACCTAGCATTTCTAGAACCTTCTCTAAAACAGCAGAGCGCATGCTTACTCTTTTCACATGTACATGAGACTCTAGCCAAGCCAGACCATGTGCCCTTGTCACACTGAAAACAAGTGTGACAAAATTCAGGCCTGGTTAGCAGTATATTCCCTGACGATCGAGGGATCAATGAGAAAACCATGTCTTATGTTTCAGTGGAATTTGTCGAGTGCCTCTTTCCATCAGTGACACACATTTACAGCAGTATCTGGCACACTGGGAAACTGTTGTTTAATATGTTCTATCCCCTTCACAGAGGAAAGCCTGACCTAATCAGCCACGTTTGGACACTTACTCTATTGGTTTGTATTCTAGAAGCTGCTCCTTGGCTTACAGCAAACACTTGTGCTTCAAAAGGTTTCTGTATGATTGGAAACATTGCTATACCTCCACCTTCTGACAGCACAGCACCCTGCTGCCCTTGGCACTAGTTCATTAGGATAATCTAGAATGATTTTAGCTTAGTCTAGTGCTGTGTGACTGCCCAAGGCAGAGGGAGGTTGCTGCCCCTATGTTCACAATATCCCCAGTCCTTTGCAGAGGTCTCCACAAGTCTGCGGGACTCCTTGCTGACACAAGCTTCTTCCCATGAGTGGCAAAGTGGATTTGTGTGTTACATTTGGAAGTGTTATGGTCCTTGAAATACCCTTTGTCCTAATCCTTGCGGGGAATTTGGGCATTTTCCCATCTGCCCTCCCACCTCACTGCAGCCTTAGATTTCTATTGGGTGGTAGTTTGAGCTGTAGGTTCTCCCAAGGATAGATTTCTTGATGAGTGTTCCCACTGTCTTTGTAGCATGTTGTAAGACACTAAGGCCACATTTCACAGCGCCACTCACTGGCTCTCATGGCCCTGTCATCAGTCTGAGATCTTAGACCTTTCTCTGATGCTCAGATCTTCAATGTCTGTCACCTCCAAATCTCAGTGCTCCATTTACTATGCTCCTTCCCTCCGGACCTCATCACAAGGATGCTGTCATACAAGTTCCCTACATCTCTCCCGATTGGAGCTCCAGGACACTTCTCTCCTCTGATCCTACAGCTTAGTGGTGGTTTCAGCAGCACTCTCATCTCACTTATGTCTCCTGCTGACTCTGTTTCTCAGTTTCTTTTTCACACACAGTCCTTCCAGTTGGTCTTCCTTCACTTATTCCTGTTATTTTGGGGTTCGTGTTATTATTATCCTTCCTTTCCTCTGTGGTCTAAAAATTAATAGACCAGAGAGAACACAAATTCCTCTTTATCTGATATAGACTGTTCATTGCCTCAGTGTTTTTATCCTCAGATATTTCCTTTTCCTGGATTCATGCCATAAACCTGGTTAACAATGCTGTTCACAATTGGAATGTTAGTATACATGTATGTACACATGTTTAGAATGTATGTGTGTGCATGCAGGTCCAGGAGCAAACGATTGTCTTATAACAGCTTCTTGAGGACCAGTGCTGCACACATGTGGAAACACATGCATGTGTGCAGTGATACATGCACACACAGAGACATGCATGCACATATGGATATGTATGCAACCACAGGCATAGGGAAACACTGCACACATGCACATGCAGAGACATGCATGCACATATGGATATGTATGCAACCACAGGCATAGGGAAACACTGCACACATGCACATGCAGAGACATGCATGCACATATGGATATGTATGCAACCACAGGCATAGGGAAACACTGCACACATGCACATGCAGAGACATGCATGCACATATGGATATGTATGCAACCACAGGCATAGGGAAACACTGCACACATGCACATGCAGAGACATGCATGCACATATGGATATGTATGCAACCACAGGCATAGGGAAACACTGCACACATGCACATGCAGAGACATGCATGCACATATGGATATGTATGCAACCACAGGCATAGGGAAACACTGCACACATGCACATGCAGAGACATGCATGCACATATGGATATGTATGCAACCACAGGCATAGAGAAACACTGCACACATGCACACGCAGAGACATGCATGCACATATAGATACATATGCAACTGCAGTATAGGGAAACACTGCACACATGCACACGCAGACATGCATGCACATATGGATATGTATGCATCCACAGGCAGAGGGAAACACTGCACACATGCACACGCAGAGACATGCATGCACATATAGATACATATGCAACTGTAGGCATAGGGAAACACTGCACACATGCACACGCAGACATGCATGCACATATGAATATGTATGCAACCGCAGGCATAGGGAAACAAGTATGCATGCAACATTGCATAGAGTCACATGTGCATACACAGATGAGCATGCACACACACAGAGAGAGACACATACACAGAGACAGATATATATGCAGGCATTAATATACACAGATGCGTATGTGCCCACATATGCACACACATGTACCCACACACATTGAGTTGTGGTAAACTATTCCTTCAGTCAGTGTCAAACATCTCTTGTTCCTTGTTAAAAATTTTACCCTTCCCCCAGTGATATGGGTTTCCTCTTCATTTCTGGACTTTTCTTGCTTAGCTACACAGATGGGAGCAGTGGGCCAATTACTTAATATGTGTTGAAAAAGGAAATAGAAGTCTCTGACTCAGCTGGGCCAGGGTTGGGAATGTAGGTGTCATGAATTCATGCCATTCCAGACCCCTGTCTAGCATGGTGGGGTAAGATAGAAGGCTTACATGATCTCTCTGAGGGTGGTGAGAGACCCAGGCTTCTGAGACCCTGAAGACAAGAGGCTGTAGATACCAGGTCTTAAAGTGGCATCACAATGCTGGGAGCCAAGCACAGAGGCTGAGGGAAGTGAAGATAATCTAGACTTCTTGGACTGGGTACAGGGATGGGACAGGGCAGATGGGTTTGCTTATATCCAGTAGCAAAGGGGACTAAAAGAGATGGCAGGGCTGAAGTGAGGGCACCTTTCTGAAGGAGAGACACTGTCAGGCATAGAACCCTAGGAAGAACCAAGCAGATAGGACATGCAAAGGCCCAGAGGCAGCCATAGTCGACAGCCTGCTATGATCTACAATTGGCAGGAGGTCTGGATTTTACCCCTGAAATGACAAGGAGCCCCTAGAAATGGAAGTCGTGAGCAGGTTTGTGTTCTAGTGGGGTGAAGATGAGAAGTAGATGAGCCTTGGGTGGAGAATGATGAAGCCTGAGCCTCGATGAGGCAGCAGTGTGGCTTCGAGGACGCCCAAGAATCCTGGAGTTTTGAGTGAGCAGTAAGGAGTGGTGGGAGACAGCTCCCAGCAGTGACCAGACACCTCACATAGGCTGATGCACAAGCAGAGGTTTATCTGAATGTGGAAGTGTACAAAGAAGGGACTTGAGAGGCACCATCCTTCTCCCTTCCAACTCCTGCTGATTTGGGTTCTTCCTTTGGTTTCCCTCTCCATCCCTCCAGGACACCGTTGTTCTTAGCATTGAGACAAGAAATATGGATGATGGTGTTGGGGCAGTACAGGGTGATTTAAAGTAGCAGAAGGGAGGACCTGGCAAGAGAGAAGGGCAGACACAGCTGGACTGTAGCCTAGGAGACCATGACCCAGCCTCCTGGCACAGGGAGCGCAGGCTTCCCCAGAGTGACACAACTTGAGGTCTCCACACACTAGTTTTTGTAGTGACAGAAACAGGGCAGAGTCTTAATTATTTATTCTCTGGTCTCCTGAGTAAGCACAAGGCTGTCATACTCACCCAGTGCTCTAGCTTGTCTTTTGGTGGCTCCCCACTCCTGCCACCCACTTTCCATCATACATGCACCTCAGCACCCCTGAGCTCTTGTCTACTGAGTCTGTTCCCAAACACCTCCAGCTTCATTATCTACTTGAGGACAATGTTGTTGCCCCCATCTGAAGCCATGTGAACCTATCTGTGCCACCTGTGCTCACCTGCACTTGTGTGCGCAGAACTCACCTGTGTTTACCCGTGCTCACTCACACTCACCTGTATTCACTCTACCCCCCCACACACACACCTGGAAACACCTCCTCAGGCAGGTTTGCACAGGGGAAGCTTGCTTGGGACATCCAGAGTCAGCTGGTGCTGTGCCCTGCCCCCCTAATCTCAACTGTATCGCTCACACTCAGAACCTGAAGAGTAGTCTGTCTCACCTGGCCAGGTGTTCACTGGGGTGCCCTACTGAGGGCCAGTCTCTGTAATCCCTCCTGCCATTGTGGGGCTCCTCCAAGGTCCATGAGCACCTACACTGCTGCAGCTCAAACCTCTGTTCTACTCTGTGGCTCCTCCATGCTTGCTAGCCCAATGAGAGTCACAAGTGCCAGCTCCATCCCACTCTTGTGTCCAGTGCCTCTTAGGTGGAGACAGCACCATCATCCACCCTCTCACTGTGCAGCCCCAAGCAGATATTCTCCACTCCAACTGCCCCTCCTTCTTGCTCCATGACTGGGCTGACATGATGATAGAAATTTACCTGTTCACTCCAGGGGTTCTGGGGTCTGGCTCTCCTGTAGTCCAGGGCTGCTTATGTGGCTGATAGCTTCAGGCTCACCTAATAGGAAAGGGGGACATCGCAGGACCAGGGAATGAAGCAGCTTTAGATTCTTCTCTGCCCTGTCTGTCCAGAGGGGGGCTGGGTCCTCTCAGGATAACCATGGGGCTCAGGCCCTTGGCCAAAGGCTGAGCACTCATGACAACAGCACATCCGGTCTTTGAGCCCCAAGCAAAGTACCTTAGTGGCCAGAGTAGAGACTTTACTTCTAAATAAGGTGGGGTCACTTGTGGACACCCCAGGCTGCTCCTGGATCATTAAGACATCTTTGGGGTAAAGGGACTGACAAGGAGGAAACACACACACACACACACACACACACACACACACACACACACACAGAGAGAGAGAGAGAGAGGGGGGGGGGATGACAACAACCAGCCATTGTCTACTTCTTAGAATCCCAAGAGCAGGAATCCTGGTACCTTGGTCCTCAGGATGGTGGACATGTCCCCCGTCTCCAGGAAGTAGAGCCTCATTATGTGACCCAGGAGGCTCTATAGATACGGGTCTGCTTGGCTTTGCTGTCTCCACCATGAAGGGCATTGGGGGCCGGGCATTCTCATGGAGGAAGGAATTCAGCCTCAGCACGTGTGCTGAAGAAGAAGACATCAGCTGGGGCCCAGTCTCACCAGTAAGGATGAGGCAGGGCAGGGTGGGCTTCACTCACTCTGTATGGCTGACTCGCAGGCCTGGCTCACCAGCTGGAAGATGGTGGCAAGGGACTGTGGCTCTCCCTGGAAAGAGGACATGGCTTTGGGACTCATGGCAGGTGCCACTAGGGAGTCCCAATCTCTAGATTATGGCCATCACCCACCTTCTCTCCTCGTTCACCTTTGGACCCTGGGAGACCCTGTAGCAGGGGGTAAAGGAAAAAAAACTGTCAGCATAGAGGCAAGGAACTGCAGGCATGGCAGCATGCAGCAGTCTTGACTCCACACAAGCTGATGTAGTGCCAAGAATCTAGGAATGCATGCCTTCAGCTCCAGACTAGCGAGAGCAAGTGAAGATGGACATCCACAGCAGGAACAGAGCTGGGAGTGAGCTGCAGAGAGCCTTTCCCCGCTGTACACTTAGTGCTGGGGAGTGGGCAGAGGTCCCCAGCAGCCTAGAGAACGGACCTCCCTTGGCCCAGAGGCAGGCCTGAGCCAAGAGCTGCTCATCATCCCGCATCTTCTTCTATACCATGCCACACTACGGAGCCCACTTAAGGAGCCCTGAGCTGCTGGACCCCTACTCCTCTTGATTGAAGGCTAAGGTGGCCTCCCAGGGAGCTGGATCCCCAAAATTCAACTGCTGCTTCCTTCCAACTCTGTGCCCCCATGGAAGCCATGCAACACTCTGAACAGGCAGGTCTTCAATCAGGGAGCCCCTGAACCCCTGCTTGCAGCATCCCTGTCACTTGGCTGCCTTGTTGGAAGGTAGGGGGTACTTACCGTGGGCCCCACAGCCCCTGGGGGTCCTCGCTCCCCATTGCTGCCTCTGGCCCCTGCCAAACCCTGGAACCCCTACAAAAAATGCAGATATCAGAGTTTGAGCCCCAAGGAGTCTATTCCTTTCCCCAGACCTGGCTTGATAGCAGGGTCCCATTGCCTCATAAGGTTAAACCTGGCTGCTCTCAGGCCTTGCCCTCCTCCCCAGCATGCTCCAGTCCTGTTCCCAAACCAGTGTCTATAACAGACCATCAATCTTCACCCAGCACCTAGGGCAGATCCCCAGCCCCTCCTCCAGCACCCAGGACAAACCCTACCTATGCTCAGTACTCAGTACAGGCACTCTATCCCTCCCTCACTCAGCATCCAGAGTAGACCACCCACCCCTCACCCAGTTGTCCTTTAGTGTTTTTTTTGTACTGAAATGACCCCTGATAGCCTCTGGGTGCTCTGGAAGAGACTCTGTGGGCTCCCCCAACCCCAGAGAGTATCCTTGCAGCATATTCTGCTAAGTCTCAGCTGCTGGCCTGAGCTATCCTCTCAAAAGTTCACTGGGTACAGAGCTCAGAGTGACGAACCCCTGGGATTGAGGAAGGAAAGTCTTCTCAAGGTGAGGAAGCTACAGCTTCCTGCATGGTCCCAGCTGCTGGGAAGTCTGACAGTAGGAACAGCATCACTATCCCCATAGCCAGTTTTGCCACCTGCCCCTACCAGGCCCAGTCAGGAGTCCTGGCACCCCTGTCCTGTAGAGGAGGGTGTAGGTATGTTTGGGCCTGTACAGGGCTTATTTCCATAGGAGCCTGCTCCAGGGACAAGGGCCTTTTCTGGGGTAGAGTTGGGGTGCTCCCAGATACAGATACTCAGATGCCAGCAGAGCCCTGTGGGAGGCTGCAGCAGGAACAAGTCCCTCCTCCAAAGTGGTCTGGACAGTGGCAGGTGATGTCCAGTGTCTTTCTCCCAAACTAGCTGTCCAGCTCCAGGAAGCCTTGGGATTCTGGGCAGAGCCTACCCTGGGGCCAGGTGGTCCAGGCAAGCCAGCAGGTCCCTCCAGTCCCCTCATTCCCTGATAGGCAGAAGAGGGGAAAACTGAGATGGGGCTTATATGAATCTTGCCTTTTATGGTACCCACCCCAACAGCCATGATGTGCTCCTCTCACTGGCATTTCTCTTCTACCAACTTGATGCCCTTTGGGTCCAGGCCAGTGCTGTCCCAAGAAGGTGGCCCACCCTGAGAAGGTGGGATGTACAATTGCCCCAGCTCCAATTAGAGGAGCTGCCTCCCTTCACCCCACCCCAGGGCGACACCATTTATCCTTGGTGTGGGCTGAGATAGTTTTCTTCCTAGCCAGGCCTTAAGGAGTAGGAGAAATGAAGCCTCAGGTGGAGGAGGAAGCCTTTCCACTTCCTCTCTCCCCATAGTCTCTGTCTCCAAGACTCTACCTGGGCCCACTCTTTCCCACTCAACACCTCCTGGACTTGGAACCAGTACCTTTGGTCCCTGTAGGCCAGTTTTCCCGGGGATGCCTTGCTGGCCAGAGAGGCCCTGGGAGGGAAAGGAGATAGTTCATCAGGCAGGGGCCATCATATGTAGAGGAGGATCCTACCCACATCCTTTCCTGGCCATCACCCAGACCCATTACCTGCAAGCCAGGAAGTCCGTGGTCTCCCTTCTCCCCTTTGACTCCTGGGGGACCCTGGAGGAGAAGATGGACTGAGAGGCCAGGAAGCAAGACAAAGCAGAAGAAGATTGGGTACAGATGAGCACCTACCATGGGTCCCTGAACTGTGCGGCCCTGGGTCCCTGGTGACCCCTGCTGTCCTCCAGGCCCTTCAGGTCCTGTCTGTCCGGGTGGTCCTGGTTCTCCCTGGAGACACAAGAAGCGTTGGAAGTACTGAGAAGGCTTGTCCCCTGTCCCTTTCTATTCACTACCTGCCCTTAGCACTGTCCACCACCTGTGGTTTTCATTCTAGGCCACAAGCACCTTCACTGGAGACCAAAGGTTCGCCTGTGCCTACCCTGAGCAGGTGCTGATGGGACCCTGTCTGTAGGTCACTATCAGCCCCTGGTCACTTATCTAGAGCCACAAACAAGCCAAAATGGAGTCGGGGTTTGAAGCCATCTCTTTTGCCCCACCCCAGTTCCTCTATTCTTCTCTGGTCCCAAAGGGTCTCAGAGAGGAAATGTGTAAAGAAGTCACCAAGAAGAGAGAAGGAAATTAGTGGGCAGCTACATGGAAGCCCAAGGGGCATCTCCTTAAGCTCTGACACCCAAACACCAAACTCAGTTCTCACTGGATATCCACCTCTAAGGGACAGGCGACACCAGAGACATTTAAACTGAGATTAGGGGGAACAGTTCCAAACTTTTTTTTTAATACTTAAGCAAATCACTGTTTCAAACATGATATAGCCAACTGCCCAATCTTATTAATGCACAACCATAAGTAAAACACCAGCATGGAAATCACTGCCACATGCTCAACAGTGATGAGGACCACAACCATGTTGGCTCCTTAGTGATGCTGGGGTACTTAGCAAGTGGGGAAACAGCAAAATTAGCATCGAGTAGCTTCAAGAAGAAAACTGCTGGGTCATGTCCATAACCACTGAACACATGACACATTTTATTTAATGTCTGTTTGATTTTTTCAAATTTCAAATAAATTAAGATTAGAGGGATTTTGTTATCACATGGAAATGAGTATCTGTCTCCGTGTCTGAATCAGTGCTGCATTTAATGAATTACTATTAAGCCAAGACATCTGTACTGCCACATGACACCATCTGACAGAGGTCTGAACTACTCACCAACACCACCAGGCAAGAAAAAGAAACCAGAGTTATCAACTATGAGCAGGAGAAGGAAAAATAACTCTGCAGGTGATCTCATGTGAATATGAAAAACACGGATATAAAATATATCACCAAAAAAAGGCAAGTAAGAAACCTGGATACAAAAATAACCCTCAGGGAAAGAGCCTGTACATAAACCACAAGAGAAGCTGTGATAAGAACAAAGACCACCACTTTCACTAACAGCAAAAAAATCAATATTTAGGCCTGAGCCTGAACCCTTCAATAAACAGGAAGCCATGTTCCTGGATGATAAAATGCAAACTCTGAAAGTACCATTTCTTCCTAAGTACAGCTCTAACCTGAACTTGGTTCCAATGAAAACACCAACTACATTTCCCAGTCTAAGAACAAGTGAGTCCAACAGTCCACAGTGAGTAAGCAAAAAGAACCAGCAGAGTTCTAAAGAGGACCAGACTGGGCTGGCAAGGTGGCTCAGTGGGTAAAGACACGTACTGCACAAGCCTGGTGACTTGAGTTCAATCCCAGGAACTCACATAAAGGTGGATGGACAGAACACACTCCCCAAAATTGTCCTCTGACCTGCCCATACAATCAGGCACACAATGGGCTGTGGGTTGGATCTGCCTGTGTTGAAGCTGTGGTATGGAAGCCAACTGTCATATGTGACACTTGGATCTGTCCAGTGGACAGGAACAGTTGGCCAGGTTAGGCTGTGGCCTGGTAGACAAACCAGAGAAGAGGGTAAAGTGTGCTTCGGAGGTAGGACTCTAAAGATGGTACTATCAGGGAAGAATCCTCAGGGGACAGGGGCTAGAGGCTATCTTTTTGAGGACTGGACATGGCTCCTCCCATCTTACACCAAGCCAGCTGGGGATGAACCAACATATGTAGGCCTAAAATACCCAGCAGTTCCAGAGAAATTGGAGGATGTCCACTTTCTTCTCTCAGACTGAGATGGGGGCTTTTAAATTTTAGTTGTATTTAACACATATTTATTCAGCATTTGTGGGCATGGTGGCAGTCAGAGGACAACTTGTATCAGTTCTGTTCTCTCATTATGTGGGTCTCAAGAATCCAATGCGTGTAGGTTTGGCAGCAAGCACCTTCTCGAGCAAAGCTATCTTGCCTGCCTTGGAAGGCCTTTTAAAATAGTCTACGGAATTTGAACTCCAGAAGAGACAGAGCAAGGGATGTAGACTAAACAAAAATTACCTTAAAAATCTGTACAGAAACCATTTACAAACAAGGTCAAAGGGCACACAACAAGATAGCAAAGAAGCCACAAGTACTTCAGTAGCCCAGCTGACTCCAAACAGCGTAAAACACCCCCCCCCACACACACACACAAAAAGCAAGTAACAAACAGGACAGTGGAGAGTTGGAGGACTCACTTCTAATAAAATCATGGCAGTTTTCCAAAGGCACCTGAACTAGCATAGCAAGTTCCAGGCTAGTCGGGCTACATAGTGAGACCTTCTCACAAACAAACAAAACCTCTTACAGACTGCCTAATTTCAGCTAGTTATCCAGGAGTGGCCTGGAGAGCAGGTGGCTCACCATGGCAGAGCAGGTCCAAGGAGGACAGCTGACATTGTGCATATACAGACGCAGGCACTCATCCCCGAGGACTCCTGATGCCTGCAGAATGTGCCCATACACGTATTCCACTGATGGAAGGCTGACTACTATCTACATGTGTCCACAGTAAAGACCAGAGGCACTCTGTCAGGGTCAGGCAGGACAGGGTCTTGGGTGCAGTTTTACAGATGCCCTGGAAGGCTGAGAGAGGTGAAGGAGTCAACGAGGAGGAGGAGCCTATTCCAACAGCAGCCACTCCTTGCATATCTTGTACTCTGTACACGTGGCAATGTGGCAGCGTGGCCTACCAATCTAGAATCAAGCAAGAATGGCACCTTGCAGGCCACTGCGTGGGTGGCACTGCTACTGAAATGCACTGGCTTCCACTTCATAGTCCTCAGACCAAGACCCTTATCCCAACACACCCAATAGACCTTATAGAGCCAGACCCTGCCCTGTGTAATGAGACCAATTCTCCCACTCCTAGCCAGAGGAAAAGAATCATCCTGCAGTGGACTGTCATTGTCATTTAGCTGTTTTATCTGTCAGGATACAGCAAAAACTCTGTTGTTTCCACAGTCAGACTATGTTTGCTAACACCAGCAGAATCCCTGATAAGGGTAAGAACAGAGCACACACAAACGACTTTCCCAGAGTCGGCCTGATTTTGTCTGTACAACATGCATGCTGTCTGAACCTGGGGTTGTTTCTGCTGCTTTAATACTAGGTAGTGTTCTGAACTTAGATTCATATGGAGGGCAAAATGCTGTCTATATTTATCTCTAAGTAGTCCTTAATAAACTCATTTTACTCATCAAGATCAACTTCAATGAGTCATTCTTTGGGCTGTCGGTGCCACCCCAGTTGGTACATGTATAAATTTTACATCTCCAAAAAGTTGATTTATATCCTGCCATACTCTGACATACCCACAAACCTCTGCAGAGTCAGACCCTCTCTCCAACATGCCCACAGACCCTGTAGATGGCACCAGTTCAGAGGCTAACTATGTTCAAAACCACTTTGGAACTCAGTCTCCTGTGTGCTGTGGGTTAGTGGGAGGAGTTAGCAAGTGTCTATGGAGGGGAACAAAGAGACAGCTGAAGAGCTAGACAATCTGGACCCACCCACTGGAATCCTGAGCCTCAGTTTCCCCACCTGTGCCATGTGGGTGATGCTACCTATGAGAGTAGGTGAAGAGTAAACATCCACTAAATACTGGGTTCAGGACCAGTTGTCCAGCAGGAGGTAGGGAGCCCAGAATAATCCCTGCTTTTCTACAGTGGGGAGCCCTTCCACCTGATACGGAATGCCGTGCACCTTGCTCACTATGCTCTAAATTGGGGTCCTCCCACTGCAGGCCAGGTCAGGCACATTGCTCCTGTACTTCAGAAGACCTACCTTGGGCCCCGGGTGTCCCTGCTGTCCTGGAGTGCCATTCCTTCCAGGGAGGCCCTATAAGATACAGACAGGACTCAGTCCGGCCCCATCAAAATCCTTAGTCCCACCCAGCCCCCTGATATCCAGCTATCTCCAATCCTGGACTCCTGTCTGTGTTGCTTGGAGGAAAAGGATCCTCCAAGATCAAGGGTGTCCTTACTGCCCTCCTCCTCACTGCTGGGCACCCACTGGATTAAGGCAGATCTGAGGTCACCCTGGGCCTATATACAATGAGACTTGTGGACCACCAACTGCACAAAGTAAGTGCTCGCGACAGGTGTCCTGAGACCACTGACTCTGCAAGTATTGCAAGTGGCCCAGAAGCCTTGGGCTTGCAGAGAAAGGACCAGAAGAGGTATGAAGATCCTCTGAGGACTCCATGGCCTGCCCAAGGTAGAGTGCTTATGGTGCAGGCTAACTCCTTTCCAGGACCCAGGGCAGAGCTGCCTGCAAGGCTATAGTTCATTTTGCCACGTCATAGCCCACCAACCACCACCAGCACAGTCATGGAGACCAGTGGGACCTGGACTCATTCCATCAGGAACATCAGAGAAACTCTTGATTTCCTGGCAGAGAAAGGCCAGCATCTGCCCACAGACAGCGGACATACATAATAGAGAAAAGCTCAACCAGTATACAAAGGGGCTGGTCAGACTAGGCTGCTGGGCCTGATGGCCATAGAAGAAATCTGTGTAACATGGCTTGGGAGGGCTGCTGGTGGGTTTGGATTCCTGAAAGCTGGTGTGAGGAGCATTATGTCAACTACTCTATCTCCACCAATGGCAGCAGAAGTCCCTGGTCACCCCCAGAGAAGAAGACACTGGACTCACCGGAGGGCCTTGGGGCCCTGGTGGCCCAGGGGTCTCAGATGAACAGACACAGGTGGAAGGGAAGGCTGGACATGTTTCTCCATCCCTCTGGAAGAAAATAAATCATTTGTTCAAAGAACTCCCCCCTTCTGTATCTCATCGGATCTTAAGACTCAGTGTGGCCAAAGGACACCCGACTCTAGGAAGCCTCTAGTCATCACTGGAGGTAGAGCAGGTCAGAGTAAAGAGCTAAGTCCTGAGTATGCATCAGGCTCACTGTGCCCTGTCCTGGATACCCACATGGGCCCTGTATCTCCTTTTCCATGCTCTCCTCCCAGGCTCCTAGCATGGCCAAGTTCAGTGTGGGGCCTCAAGGGACTAGTGAGGATAGCTTCCAAGTCCCCAGCACCTGGGATGTTCCCACAGCCTTCCTGCATGACCGTCTCCCTGGGCCTATAGAGAAGGAGGACAGCATCTCCTTAGAGCTGACTGGGGACTTCTAACTGACACATGGCTGTTATTGGTGGAAATGGGACACCCCGCACATGTCCCATGGCAGCTGCTGTAACTGTCAATGAGGCTTCTTGGCCTTCCCCACAAATGCCTGTGGGACTTTCCGATTCAGGTCCCTGACCACCTCATCCAGATAGTCTGCTTTCATCTCTGTCAGCATGGGTCTAGACAGACCATCTACCCAGAGTCTGTGATCCTTATTGGCACCCTCACAGGGCCAAGGAACAGTGTCCAGGACCTTGTTGCTACCTACCAATGCAGGAAGTTCGCAGCACCTGTCCTTGTCTGCCCAGCTGTCACTGCACACAATTTGCAACATTTGGAGCTGGAACTGTGAAGCAGGGGAAAAGTCAGGCCCCATAGGCAGAGCCCACCCATCCTATGAGGCCAGGCTCCAGACTCACCGTGGCTGAGCTACTCCGTGGCCCCCTGACCTTGGCTAGCCTCCCTAGTGTGATGAACCCAGCTGTGGGTGGGCTGCCAGCATCCCCAATAGGCCGCTCAGCTACCTTCCGACAGTCCACATAAAGTCTGACCTTGGAGTGGCCCACAGCCACATGTACCTGCAGAAACTAAAGTGAGTCTCCCACCCCAGACCAGGCCAAAACATATCAAAGGGGCCCAACACAGAGGGTCTGGGGTCAGATCCCAATGCTACTCCAGGGTCTACTGGGGCCACAACTTCCCCAGGGAAAGCTACTGCAGAAACCTCCCAAAGAGAAGAATTTGCTCTCTGACAGTCAGAACAGAGGAGCACCAGGGTCAAAGGCCCTAGATGGACTAACGTTTGACTCTCAAGGGAGACAACCACATTCAGGGAAGGCCAGGCCAGAGGGTTAGGGCCTGCAGGGCTCAGGCGGACAGTGCCCAGGACCTTGTGGAAGCTTCCGAAGAAAATCTTCTTTGCATCCTGCAGGTCAAAGGTGACCTCCTGCAAGGCTGCCCTGGGATCATGGTTGAAGTAAGTCAGAGACTTCCTGCCAGCTGCCAGAGAGGATAGGAAACCGATGAGAATGGCAAGCTGGGCGAGGGTGGCAGTGATAGAACCAAGACCCACGTAGGGCCTCCATAACGCAAAGATGTGGCGATATCCAGGATGTCTGCTCCCACTGAGGATGGACTTCCATGCCTAGTTGCCTGGGGAAACCCACAGCTTGGCCTGGGGGTTGATATCCTTATTTCCATGAGGTTAAGAGGATAAGCAAGGGCAATATCCCTCCCAACTGCCAAGGGTGGTATGATGGGGCCCACATTCACCATCCAGCAGAACCCCAACAATGGGCTGGAAGTCCTCAGCCATCATCTGCCACAACGCAAAGGCTTCTCGGGGTGTCTCAGGGAGTAGGCGCACAAGGAAGACAATGGTGTGTTCTGGTGGCAGGGCTGCCGGGTAGATATCACTGGAGAGACAAGGGGTTGGAACAGATTTCAGAGGACTGAGCTGAGGTCTTCACACCTCAGTTTCTCCATAATGAACATGGGGATTGTAGCAGAGAATGCCCCCTACCCAAAACTTCTAGTGTTCAACAAGAAGTGCTGAGGACCCTGGGCCAACAGACCCTCTGCTCCCCAAAGCCAGGCCAAGGATACAATAAAGGTCACTGAGCAAGGCCTACTGAAACCCTTATGCTCAGTGGCACTGTAGGTGAGGGGCCTGACCAGGGAGACTCCAGCAGGAAGGTACCTGGAACAGTCCTGGGACTCAGGAGCTGCTCCCACTGAGTATGTATGCTGAGGTATCAGACTAGGCGATGGGGGAAATCCATGCCTGTGCTGATCCAGGCTATCTAAGGGCAAAGAATGGAGTCTTGAGTCACTCAATAAGACTATTCATATCAGTCTACAGCCTTCCTATTTGACCTTCATCTGCTCTTAGGATAAAAGCCAAGAAGTAGACAAACACCACCTCGACCATGCTCCTATCCTTTCTTCTTAGAGACAGGAACTCACTACATAGCTGGGGCTGGCATAAGACTCACAGGGATCCTTTCTCAGCCTCCTGAGTTCTGGGATTCCAGATGTCACCACACAGAGAACAACTCTACAGTTCTCTAAACACAATGATCAGAGGGCCTCACACGTTCCTTCCTCAGGCAGCCTCTCCATTCCACCACAAAGAAGGATCCATTTACTCTTAACAGCTATGGGGTAGGGGCCACTTGAGCTAAGTGGGCACTCTGAGGAAGTTAGGTATCTGCCCCACCCTCTTTTGGAGCCCCAGAAAGGCAAATAGATAGAGGGTTCTAGGAAAAGCCACTCATTTGAGGAGAGGAACAAGTAAGGGAAATCACTACTGAGAATGGGCAGCTTTAATTCAGGCTTTGTGGTAAGAGAAGAGACTGGGATAGCAGATAGCAAAGACAAGGGGGGAAGAAAGAGACTTGTGAAGGAAACCAAGAGATAGTCATTAGGATGAGGGACAGCCAAATATGAGGACCACGGACACTTGATGGCAAGGTCAAGCACCAAGTACATGTGGCTATGGCCATGCCTGCCTCCAAGGACACTTCTCCCAGGAAAATGTAAAAATAGGTTATTGAGATAGAAAAGCTCTCAACATCACTGTCACCGAGGGAATGTAAAAAAAAAAAAAAAAGTGAGAAATTACCTTGCTGTCAGGAACATAAAACTTACTGAGTGTTGGTGGAGCGAGGAGAACCTTGAACAGTGTTGGGACTGTAAATTAGTATATAGTATAGTATATGGGAAACAGAATGGAGGGGCCTCAAAAGAACAAAATAATTACTACCAGATGATCTGACAAGTCCATTCCTGGGCACAAAGGAAATGAGGTCAGACTCCGTGGTTACTGTAGCTCTCTCTGTTTGCCAGGGCCAAGAAATGGAATCAGCCAACATGCCCATTAAATTTCGAGTGAGAGATGAAGCCAGGCTCTGAGGATGGAGTGGTATGTATACACCCCAGGGTAGGAACAGATGGGAAAGCTATTGAGATGTAGTAAAGTCATGAAGAACTAGAGTGTGGGTGTGCAGAGGACAGCTGCAGACCATCACCAGCAATAGCTTTACAGTAACAAAATAATAAATGTTGGAAGAGATCACTGTGTTTACCCTTATCTAGCCATTAGCTAATTCATGCATATAGAAAAAGATGGTGACCCTGGGTGACCCGTTCTCATGGAGGAGCATGACCAAGGACAAGATCCCCAGCTTGCTGCCTGCACCTGGGCCCCAAACTGTTGTGGGAACCCATGGGGCCATGCTCTGTCCACTCGTGGCCTCCTTTCTTGCTCATGGGGGCATGTGGTAGTGGTGTGAAGGTCAGGGCTTTTCAGTACTCCCTGTAATACCTCTTTTGTGAGGCTTATTTATACTTCTGCTACATGCCTGGGGCCATGGTTCTTTCAGGGTCTGGTCAGTCATACTGTGTGAATCCAAGTTCAGGTTAATGACCCATGCGTGGGATAAGCAGGAATTGGTGTCTGCCAGATACCAGGGGCCTTGTGTGCCTTCTCGTGGCTTCTTGGAAAGCACCCAGTTCTCACAAACCTAGGATGGTGGTAGATTTGCCCGTTGGGCTAAAAAGCAGATACGCAGTCACTTAGAGGGAACAGTGCCATGACTTATATGCAGATTTTTGTGACTGTGAACGATCCCTAAACTACACAGGGAAAAGACCCATGCATGGCTTCAAGTCATGCGGGGCACAGAGCCTAATCCCCCACACAAGACTTCATTCATCTGTCAAATGAGAATTTCTGGAGTGCGCGGGGCTGAAGCCAACCGGTCTATCTACGGTCTGTTGACATGGTGTCAGAGGCTAGTCATTTTGGGGTCAGGGTCATGGCAGAGTCACAGAATATGTGACAGGCTCCATATCAGCTCCTCCCACCCCATTTTGCACAGCGGTTCCCTCGGCCCCACTCACCTGGCTCGGCGCATCAGTTGAGCATCCTTGAAGAGCGTGAAGGTGGGGGCCGCACCCAAGGCTGAGGGCTCCATAGCCACACCTCGAATAGAGGCATACTCCTTTGCCACAAGACCAAAGGCCACCATCAGGTCAAACCCTGGTGGAACAGGAAATGATGACTAGCAACAATCAGGGAAGAGCGAGGGGCAGGGGCAATGATTCCACTTGGAGAGGATGTAGAAGAGAGGGCCTAAAATGATGGCCTGGATGGGGTCACCAGAACAATGAGAAGCTGGAGCGGGGTCTTGGAGGTGGCCATGGGCCCAGCACTACCTTGCCCTCTGCAGGAGAATCTAGTCCCCTTCTAGCCAGGCAGACATCAGTCCCATGCCACTCTGTTCCTCTTCCTCCATTCCAGCTCTGACACTGGGGACGTTGCTCACCCAGATGCTCCAGCTTGGAAAGCCACACACAGGACACAGTGGTACCCCTGACACTCAGACCCAGTCACCTGCCTCATACTCCTACCGAGCTGCACCTACACTCTGCCCCAACCCAGCTCCAAGTTGTCTCTGTGTAAGGAAGACCTTGCTCAATTCCCCTCTAGTCAGCACAGAAGCTTCAAGCAGCTCCTTTTGCTCCTCATAGCCTGAGGACTCTCCATGGTCCAGACCCCAGCTGAAGGCTGAGGCTGGCATACAAGTCACTGGGATGATCAGTGTCATGGTGGGTCCTCCAAGTACCAGCTCCCTTTACAGCACTGATTGGCACAAATCAGAGAGTGAAATCACATGTGTGTTTGGTGTTTAACTGTGCACTACCAGGTCCAAAGGTGCAGAGGCTCGGTCTTTCTGAGGCCTATTTCAAGGAAGCAGCCATGCCTGACCATCTGCCCACTGGCCCTGTGTTCCATGGGCCCCACCATTCACTGATCCCACCCCTCACCACCCCTGCCAGCTTCAGGGCAGTGGCAGACCCAGACTGCGTCTTATTGGGATGCAGGTGAGGAAACAGCCTTCCTTCTGAGATCAGAGCCTGTCTGTCCACTCTGTACTTTAAAGACCTTTCCTTGCTGGATAGAACCCCTGATGTGCCTCATGCTAAGTGTCTGCTCTCCACCCTCCTGCATAGTACTTGTGAGAACTCCGGGCTTTGCACGACTTAGCCCAGATGCCTGTGGGACCACCGAGGGACCCAGTGGAGCTAGCCAGCTCTGCCTCTGCCCTGCACATGCCAATACTAACTTTGGATGAAGCCAGAATAAAGCTTCCATGACAGCCTTGTGGGCTACCTGAGAAGGTGCAGGCCTTGGCCTGCAGCACCATATGGTTGATCCTGAATCATGAATGTTCTGCCCCAACCTTGGAAGAGTCAAGAAAAGCCGAGCAGGCAAACGACAGAGCACAGCTGACACAGATATACAGGACCTACCTGAGAGGGAACTGTCCGGGTGCAGGGCTGGGCAGGCTGCTGAGAGGACATGGAGGGTCCGGTGAGTCACATCGAAGCTAGCCCGACTACCAGAAGGGCTACTTTGTGGGCAGTTTCAGGCTTCTGGTGAGCACAGGTGGACCTGCACATACCCCACTTTGCTCCCTTTGGCAACACCACTCTGTAGACTTAGTTCCTCGCTTCCATGTTAGGATCTCACTGAGTAAGCAGGTACCCCTGCCTACCCTGTGCACCCAGGGCCAAAACCAAGCTTCCACTGGGGACTGTACCCAAAAAGTTACGGGCCCAAAGTGAACCCCAGGCACAAGTTGGTAGGGCCAGGGAGATGACTGGATACAGCAAACAGCACAGGAGGCAGAGATACAGGCTGTAGCCAGATACAAGGCAGATGAAGTCACAGTCAGGGCTCCAGGCATAGTGGCCATCCACTGGGCAGTGAGGAACCAGACATCATAGACAATTGGATATAACTGGATTGTCCAAGATGGAGCACAATAGCTAAGGCAATGGGCTTCATGGACTCTGAAGGCCCTATGCCCTAGCAACGGTGGCTCTCAGGTGATTCCTCACAGCTGAGCCTGGCCTTGTAGGCTGGAGGATACCAGAGATCTGACTATGTCCTGTGGCATCAAGGGCAGGTCTCTGCTGGGCAGAACTCTCCCTACTCTCTAGCCATTTCCCAGTCACTCTGATACAGCCTGCTCTATTTTGGGTACCCTGATCTCTGTGGCCTCTCCACAATCTGTTGAGCCTGGGGCCTCACTGGCTCTGATGTCCACTGGCTTCTGAGGTCTCATTGAGTCTAGTATCTTGCCTAGTCTGGGGTCTGACCAGATCTGAAGTCTGACTGGATCTAACATCTAACTGGAACTTGAGTCTGGCTTGGGTCTTGGATTTAGAAGGAGCTACAGTCTTTGTGCCTACTAACCTGTGCGGTATGTGGCAGTCACTGCGACACTCTCCCCTGCTCCATAGACAGCTGAAACCAGGACCCTGTACTTGGTGGCAGACAGCAGGTCAGGAAGTACAACATGGCTCCTGGTGCCTGGCACAGAGATCTGTGGGGGCAGGAGGCCTCTGAGCCTCCCCTCCTCGAGGGCCTTCTCCCTTTAAGGCGGTACTCCCTCCTCTACCCATCTTTCCCTCCACAAAGAAGCAGCATGCTACCCTCAATAGATAGATAAAATCATCACCTAAACCCTTGGGTGACTCCCTGCTCTTTATAGACTCACCCACTTCTCTGGTCCAGAGCCTGAGGCCAGTGCATAGTTGACCCGGTAATGTAGGACATGGCCACTTGGTGGTGTCCAGCTGACCTGCAGGCTGTTGGGGGTCTCCGAGGACAAGACCAGATTGGAGGGGGGGCTCCTGCTTGCTGAAGCTATCCAATGGCACAGACAATGTGGAATTCAAGGCTCTCCAGGATGGAGGTGCCCAGAGCCAGAAGGCCAGCCAGTCAGCCAGCCAGTCCAGAATCTTACACTCTGCCCTGCCAACCCTAACAATGTCCCTGCCGAGTCCACCAATATCCCTAGGAGGTCTTGCACAGAGGCTGTGTCACCCATGCTGGGGAATTTGGATCTCAGCCACACCCCAAAAGCCTGTACCCTTTGTGGGCTGGGATCCATTGGTCAAGCCCAGAGTCTCAGGGACTCAGGGAGCCTGCTTGCTGTGGGAGTATGAGGTCCTGGGCGTGTGGATCCAGGAAGGTCTGGGTCCCCTCTGTTCCTGTCCCAAGCCCATCTGAATGGAGGAAAGGCCACCTACAGGGGATGTAGCGGAGGGACACAGGGTCGCTGCGAGTGCCGTCCCTGTAGTAGGCAAGGATGGTGATCTCATATTCCACATGACTCATCAGGCCAGGTAAGACGGCTGTGTCAAGGGTTCCTGGGACAGAGATCTAGAGAAAGGAGAGTCCAGGGGTCCACCTGCATGATAGGGAACCTACCTCAAGAGGCAGGCTCACAGGCTATGGGCAGACAGGTATTCCCAAGACACAGAACTTAGATGGACACACAGAGTCTAAGCCCCACTTGGCCTTGGGGTCTGGGACCATAGGAATTTCTCCAAAATGTCATCTGACCCCTGTCCCTTTACCTCATGGGCCTTGCCCTCTCCCAAGGGCATCCACTTGATCTGATAAACAAGTACACCAGACAAGGCAGCGGCCACCCATGACAGCTTGACTGCATCTCCCGGGAGCTCCGTCACAGACAGCTGGCTAGGGCTGGGTGCTTTCTCTGGAAGACAGGGTATAAAAATGTAGTATAAAGTGATGACGTGAGCTGTTGCTTTCAGATAAGCGTCAGTCATATTGAAGAGTGTCCCTGGCCCCTTGTCCCTCTGCAGACCTTCTATCACATATGTGCAGACACTTGTTCCCACCTAGCCTAGCACAGCCAGGACAGACACCCAACATAGGCCCTTCAGCAGGACATAAGGACACAGTCCAGCCCCATCCCAGCCTTGACTTCCCTGACTCACTTGTGGTCACATGGCCAGTCAGCATGGAGGAGCCACCCCCGAAGTAAAAACAAGTGACTCGGACGGTGTACTTGGTAGAGGAAGAAAGAGGGCCTAGGGTGGCTGAGGTAGTATTCCCAGGAACCTGAGCCTGTGGGAGGTATACATGCAGACCAGTCAGGCACCTGAGCCCCTGACAGGGCTCAGGCTCAGGACCTATAGCTGGAGCTAGCCTATGATTTCCAAAGAAAAGTGTGATTAGCTATGGATCCCCAGAATGACCCATGAGTGGAGACTCATCTCTCCCTGTCTCAACTTTTAATGCCACAAGCCATTCTGCTCTAAATCTGGTGTGGCCACAGTCTCTACATGACATCACTATGCATGTATTTGTGTTTGTGTGTATGTGTCCTTGCTTTAGGTCTTCCCCCAATTCCTGCCAGACACAGTCACCTTGAGGGCTGAGTCATTATCAAACTGTGTCCCTCACACCATCTCAAAGGCTGTGTAGAAGGAGTCTAAACAGATATGGATTGAAGGTGTCCAAGGGGAAGAAGAATAAGTGAGGTGAGAGCCTAAGGATGCTAGGCTTCCAATGCTAAATCTATCTAGGATTCTGGGTCCCCCAGGAGGCCCTTGGGACTTTTGGGCCCCTGATCTTACCTGCCCAGAGTGGCTGCCGTCACTAGAGACATAGCTGACCTTGACCAGGCGCACAGGCCTCTGGGCTTCCCAGGACACACAGGCTGAGTTGTAGCTCACATCTGAGAAACTCAGGTGTCTTGGGGGCCCCAGGGCAGCTGCAGAGCATAACAAGGCCTCAGAAGCTGGCATCCCTACACTTGGGACTGGGAAAAGGGTAGGAAGTATTGGGACTGAGGAACATATGGGGCATCCAGAGTTATCTGTGGTCTTCTATACTGGAGTGAGCTGAAAAACAGAACCAGGCATCTGCTGTATGAACACATGGCCCAGGAAGGGTACTCACTGGTCCTGGCATTGATGCTCCGGACCTCGCTGACCTCTGGTCCCCGAAGGCTCTGCACTGAAACCTCATAGTCCCGGCCTGGCTCCAGGCCATCCAGCAGTGCCTCAGGCTGTCCCACGTGTACCTGGCAGGGACATGGTGGCAACACGTATCTCAGCACCAAGTCCCACCATCTGGCCCACCTATCTCCCTTTCTCTACCTCTCACCTCTCTCCTCTGCTCCTCCCCAGGGGAGGCAGCCAGCAAGTAACGCACCAGGTACTGAGTGGCCCCAGCAGAGGGCTGCCAGGTGAGGCGGAGGGTTCTGGGTGTCACTGAAGCCAGGGTCAGTGCTCCAGGTGGAGGCAGGGGTGCTGAGGAGGGGGTGGCCATCAGGGGAATCTTGGGAGTGTGGCACATGCAGAACTCATAAACATGAACAAAGGAACCCTTTTTGTAACGATAAGACTTTCAGTGGGTGAACAGTCAGGTGAACAACCACCAATCAGAGAACAGGGTTCTAAGTCACTTGTCTCACATGTCAGTGAGCTGTGTTTTTCAGCTCACAATTGTGGGGGAGCCAGATAATCCTGCTGGCCTAAAGAAATTTGCTACAAAGGTAGTGAGGGATGTAACCTCCAGGTTGAAACACACACACACACACACACACACACACACACACACACACCCACCACCAACAACAACAACAACAAAATCATATAATACATGAAGCAAAAATGACCAGAAGAGGCAGATCTGGAGTCAGAGAGCAGAGCCGAGGTTGCCAGGGCTGGGTGAAGGACAATCTGGGATGCCAATGAAATGTATAGTTTCCTTGGGTGATAAACATGATCTGTGGTGGCCTTGGTGTAAATAGCCTTGAATATGTTATTCTTTTTTGTTTATTTATATTTTTGTGTTTATACAAGGTTTCTCTTTGTAACCCTGGGTGTCCTGGCAACTCACTATGTAGACCAAACTGGCATTGAACTTAGAGATCCACCTGTCTCTGCCCTTCTAATTCTGGAGGTTAAAGGTGAGTGCTGCCACACCTGGCAAAGTCTTGAATGTACTATCAGCCATCCATCGTTCCCTGTAAGTGGGTGAGTGTGGGCATATGAGTTCTATCTCAGTGCAGCTATTAGCTAGGAATCATGGTCTAGCAATAGCTGAATGCTAGTGGCCTTGGCCATGTGCTGTCGCTAGACAGGATGGGAGCCTTGAGACAGCTTAAGCAGCAGTCATAATGAGCCATGTGTGACACTACTGTGTTCAAAAGAGGACAGTGGTGGCGCATGCCTTTAATCCCAGCACTCAGGAGGCAAAGGCAGGCGGATCTCTGTGAGTTCGAGGCCAGCCTGGTCTACAAAGCTACACAGTGAAATCCTGTCTCAGAAAAAAAAAAATACCAGGGGGCTTGGAATGGAGGTTTGTGAGAGCACTTCAGACCCAGGGCTGCCTGTAGTCATGTCCTGATTGTACAATCCCCAAGGGACAGGATTACAAAGGTCACCTCTATACCTGTGGTTGCCAGGCCTTGCAGGCTCTTGCCAAACCCATTCTCATAGACAGGAAGCACAGAGACCAAGTATTCTGTGTTGGAGGTCAGATTTCGAAGCTCCATGGATGAGACAGGCCCCTCCACCACCACCTGATCAGGAAAATCCCATCAACAGGTGTAGGCTTGGAAGATAATGGTACCATCACCTTGAGACATTAGGTCCCCACCCAGAGCAGAGCAACACCAGGCACCACAGAGACAGGCGAGACAGTGAGACGATCCATTTGTCTACCAGTGTGTCATCAAAGCCACATCTGGGTATCTGCAGTTACTGCCCAACACTCCTCACTCTGACTTGATCTGATTGGGTGCATCTGTGTATAGCTACCCACCCCCAACCCCACCCTCATGTGGACTTAGTCATCTGTAGGCCTTTATTCTAGCGCTTATCCACACCTCAGCAGAACCCACCTGAACCATGCTGGTAGAGCTCTGTCTGCTGCCCCAGCTCCCAAGGAGAGGCTGAGCCAGGGGATCCCCCTCTTACCTCCTTGGGGGCACCACCCCTAGAAGGCTGCCACACAATTAGATATTTGAGGGGTGGGTATAAGGCCGGAGTCCAAGACAGGTGGACACTGGATGAGGTGATGTGGGTCAGGTCCAGTCTGGTGGGCATGGGGAGGGGGTCCAGGGCCAGAGTAGTTGCTGCTGGTTTGACTGTGGGGAAAGGCAGTCTGGGAGCAAGCAAGAAAGCAAGAAAGCAAGAAAGCAAGCAAGAACATCTAGCTCCCCCTGGTGGCCATGTACAGATCCAAGGACAGATAACAACCTGGCTTAGTCTGCAGACCCTCATGGGCCGTAAAAACTGTCCAGGTGTAGCTTCAGCCAACCTGCCCCTTGGCCAATGTGGTTGTGTATCCTTACCTGGGCCCCTGCCCTGGATTTTTTGGCAAATGAGGCGGCTGAGCAGAGCAGCTAAGGTGGCCAGCTGAGGGAAGTCCAGCACACTGTGGACAGTGATGTCCAGTGGCTGGGATGCCAGGAGCTTCAGTTCAGCCTCATCAGCATTCTTCACACCTGCTTTGGGGAAGTGTGTGCCAACAGGCCCCTCTGAGACCCTCATCCTATTTACAGACAGGACCACAGAGGAGAGACCAGCCAGAGTTCCCAACATATGGGACATGCCCTAGATCCCATGGGGGTCTCTCAGTGGGACATAGGAATGAGCCAGGGGAGGGCAGCATGCTTAACTCTGGGAGCTCTGGGAAGCAGGCCAGACTATGTGGATGCTAGCGCTAGGTGCCCATAAAAAGAGGGGAGTTCTGGGGAGAGAGGGCCTCCTAGAACAACTGTCTACACTTGAAGCTTCCTTCCCATCAAACGGAGGGCAGTGAGTGTGGTTAATGCCCCAGAGATCACCAGGAACAATTCTTGCTTGGGGAGCAGATAGAGGAGGTAGAAGATTGTCACACACAGAGACAGCTGCCGGGCAGGGGACCAGTTTGAAGGCTACTTGCAGTGTGAGTTGAAGGGTGGCAAGGAGTTAGGGGAGTGTCACAGCAAAGGAGGCAGGGACAGATTTTGCAGATGGTGCTGCAAGGTGCAGCCACGCACCTCCATGGAACAGGACTCACCCTCTGGGCTCTATGGGTGTGGAAACTGCAGTCAGCAGTTCAGGAGGCACCGATTTTTCAGTAGAGATGATGAAGCCAGAGTACAGGTGTGTCTGTGACCCAGAGCCCACCCCAGCCGTGAGCATTCCAACCCAGGGCCCAGGCACTGTGCAGGCTCACCCACAACAAAGACATCAATGTCCTGGTCCTTAAGAATTCGGGCAGCTGTGCGCACATCATCCTGGGACTTGCCATCCGTCACTAGAATCAACACCTTGGCTGCCTCTGGACGGGCACCTGCTGCTGGCTTCAGGTTCTGCCCCAGTACATGGGTTAGGGCAAGGCCTGAAGAACATCAGGGACAAAGTGACAGGCAGCCACTAGGACTTCCTCTCCTGGTGTGTTCTCAACCACAGCTGCTCCCAGCACTTGATCCCAGGGCTCTCTGTTAACATGTCTTGTCTGTCCTGCCTTGCCAGGCTAAAGACACTTGGGGTCAGGGACAGCACCTCTTGAGAAGGTTACCTATGGCCCAGCAAGGCCATGCCTATGTCTTCTAAGAAGCCACTGGCAAAGCCAAAAGTCGGGCTGAGTGGACCCAGACAGAAGCTGCCTATTATCAGTGCAGACACTTTTTCTCAACAAGGTGCCTGAAGTTCCACATTTTTGCCAAAGGTTGGTGCCGGTGGTGGTGGGGATGGAGTTTGTTCTCTAAAGTGTGAAGTGGGCTCAGCACCCACCCATCACACAAATGTTCAGGGGTGGAAGGGGCATAAAAGGAGGCTGGCTGGAGTCTTCAGCACAGCTAACCTCGAGGCCCAGGACATACCTGTGAATGTGTTTCCTCCCCTGTAGTGGAGGCTGTGCACTGCTGCCAGCACCTGCTCCTTGGTGTGGAAGGAGTTCAGGTCCCACTCGGTCCGGGGGTCTCCACTGTACTGAGTCAGACCTGGGGGTGGGCTCTGGTTGCTGGGCTGAAGGGTTTGTTTTTTGGTCTCTTTCTTTCTTTTTCTGTAACACTGGGGGAAAGCATGCTAGGCAAGGCAAGTGTACTACTTGACATTTCAATGCCAGAGCTGTTTTGAAGACCACATAACAGAGTTGCCTGCTCTGGGCACAGCCGTTGGGGCTCCCACTCCCAGGGAAAGACACATTTTCAGGTCCCAAGTCTCTCATAGGAATATCATCAGAGGGGCTGACTGTAAGCCAGCCATTCCTACAGACCACAACAACCCCATGGTTCACAGGGGAAGTGAATCAGTCACATGACCCAACCCAGACCAAGCAGGCTTCCATCGGCCAAGTTTCTCAACTCTCTTGGCAGGCTGATGGGCTTTGGGAGGCTATAGCATTCCCTATCCTATTATGAGGGCAGCTATCAACTTTCCACTGGTGAGAACTTAAGAGGTTCAATCTCCCCCAAGGGCAGGGCAAAGAAGGTTGGTACCCACCTACTTGGACTTTATCTGGTCCTATTTCAAAAGGTGTGATGATACTGGCCAGGAAGTCTTTGACCTTCTGGAAGTGTCTGTGGCCTATGCTCCAGGACCCGTCCACCAGGAAGATTATATCAGTAGGAGTTGGGGGTGTGCAGTGGAATTGGGGATCACCTGGGACAGGTAAGGATGGGTGAGGTATTGGGTGAGTCTAATTGCTTCCCCAGGACACCTGAGTATTATAGACCTGACTGAAGTCCTCAAAATACCCTTCCCTAGGATCTTGGGGGTCAGGGTTTCCAAGGACTTTGTGTCTCACCAGACTTAGAAAAGCCTTCATGCATCCTAGTTTGGGGTTTCAGCTCCTCTAAGTCCCCTCAAAGAGATCACAGTCTCAGGTCTAGGGGTCACCTCTGCCTTTCAAGGCTCCTGGCAGCACTATGTCTGAACCTGACAATTTAGTCCCTGGGCTGAGCAGGCTTCAGCAACCACATTTCCAGACCCAGCTGCCTGTAGGTGGCCACCAGTCACAGGTGGGGTTGTTAGCACCACAGACAGTCCAAACTGGGTAAATTGGCAGAAAGATCAGGCAGGGCTAGTAGCAACCTGTGGCCTCAGGACCTTCCATCACCCTAGAGTTCTATGTAGATAAAATTCTCCCTGGGGCCCCTTACAGTTTGACACAGACTGCACCTGGCAGGCTTCATGAGATTTCTAAACACAGCCAGGTAGATGACTCTCCTTCAGCTTCTGATCCTCGGTCTAAAGGGGAGGGGCCAGGCATGGTTGTAAGGCCCTCAACAGTGGAGTGACACTGTAGAAGACCCTATCCTTAACAACATAACAGGATACAGGGCCAGGACATGACAAAGTAATGCCCAAGTCTGAGAACAGAAGCCCTCCCACAGCTCTGTGTCTGGTGGAGAAGGTAGTGACCTCCTGATGTGAGGGGGGCCAGGTGAGGAGGTAGCCTCATTTCATCTGACCCCACAGTTCACAGAAGCCACCTTACCTAGCTTCTCTTGCTTTCCCACAGAGTCTGCTGTGTGGCTCTGCCTCTCCAGGTCTATGGTTGGCTGAGCAGGGACCTGTACTCCAAGGCCCTGCTTGAGTTTCCTCTGATCCTTACTGGCCACTCCTGGAGGCAGGGGGAAGGAGCACAGCTGCTACCATGCACTCCCAGACCTAAGCTAGGGCTCTGGGGCAAAGATTACCTGGACCCAGTACCTGAGATTGTGAGTCCAGGAATATGACTGATAAGCCTAAATTAGAGCTAGAATATGTAGTCAAATACTTACAAGAATTTCTGGGCATGTGACAAGAGGCACCAGAAGCTTCAGAGGGCTCTCCCACCCCCAGGATTTACTCTCACTCCACTTTGACCCACCAAGAATAGGCCGGTCTTTGCTTGAGGTGAAGGCAATACTGGGCTCAAGTGTTTTCTCAGGGTCTGAGGCCCCCAGAAGGAAGGAGGTTGGATCCAAGGTGGGTCCCACCAGCCTGCGGCTGCCTCTGCTCAGAGAGTGGCTCTTCAGATCCTCAACTGAAGAGAGAGGAGGGACCAATTGTTAAGACACAGGCCGGAGTAGGAGCAGGGGCTTGGATTTGGGGGGTTTATGTACTTCCTAGACCTGCCCATCTCATGGGAAGTGAGCAGCAATGTCAGGAACAGGAAACAAGACCCAAGCACCTCACAGGCAAAATCCCTCAGGTCACAAGCCCAGGCCATGAACTCCAAATGCAGAGGCCTTCCACACACATCCACCCATCTGTCTTCAGGAAGACTTACTCACAAACTCCCTTCGTGCCAGCAGGACAGGCCCAGAGTCAGTCAGCTCAAAAATCTGCAAGGTGTAGCCCTTGGAAGGGCTCAGGCCACCCACAGTAGCCTTGGGTGTCTTGGTGGTTAATATCAGCTCCTGCTCCAAGTCCCCTAGGTGGAGGTGGAGAGTTGTTGAGGCTGCCAAATTTAATATACATATGTGTGCACACATGTTGATTGTGTGTGCTGTACATGTTTGTGCGTGTACATCTGCAAATGTATTATTGTGATATGCAAATGTGTACATTGTGGATATGAGTGAATGTTTGCATGTTTGCATACATGTGTACATATGGAGTGTATGAATGTGTGTGCTGCATGTGTGCGTACCCTAAGTGACATTCATATACATGTGGCTAGGTAGAGATATACTGCATGTGTGCTTTGCATGCATATAGGTATACAAAATGTGCGTGTATGGGTATGCATGAGTTATATATGTCCTGCATGCATGTATACCATATAGGTATACACGTACATGAATATGTGTATGTAGTATGGATGGATGTGTGCATTGGTGCCTTGAATGCATGTGTACCATACACATACCCTTATATGTGCACACGTGTGCATGGATTATGTACATAGTGTAAGAAGCATCCAAACTAATCCCTCTTGAGGTTAGGGAAGAGAACAGGATGATGGGAGAACAAGGGATGGGAAAAGAAAGAAGTCTGTTGGGAAAAAAAGTTTCTTCTTCCAAACTTCTGCAGAGGATCCTGTCCACTTTTCCTGCTCTGGAATGCTGTCATCTAAAGGTAGGGATGGATCCCAGTATTAAGAACAATCATAGCCAGGCCTGCTGGTGCACACTTTTAATTCTATCACTTAAGAGGCAGAGACAGGCAGATTCCTGTGAGTTCAAGACTAATGTTTTCTACATAGAAAATTCCAGGCTGGCCAGGGCTATACAATAAGGCCTTGTCTCAAAAAAAAAAAAAAAAATCATGATTCCAAAGGGACCCTATCTGGGGACAGGTAGAGTGGAGCTAGAAGAAGTGACCACATAATGGAAGCATAACTGGACTTATGGACATACTCACAGAGCCTTTGGGTCTCAAACACCAGGGAATCAAAACACTTCCCACCTGGGAGGAACATAACACTGTTTTTGAAAAGTGGGCAGTCCCCAGACCTGCTAGCCAATCTTAACTTTACAGTAAAAGTCGACACTGTGGACAACCATCTGCTGTACAGTAGAAACACCCATACCACTAGCAACAATCTTCAGTAGCAAATACAGGCCAACTTGAACCTTACCAAAACCAAGATCCAACTACAGGAGACGCAGGGGAGAGAGGGGCAAGTCACACAGTGTCTCAAAGATATCATTGCTAGACAAGGTCATGGGGATCTGGCTTCTCCTACAAGTAAATACCAAGGGAAAATGAGCTAGAAAAAATTATGAGAGGTACAGGACTTGTAAAATGAATACCTCACCCTGGCATGTTACACACTTGGCAATCTCAGTATGTAGGAGGCTGAGGAAAGGGAATTGTGAGCACAAGGCCAAGGTGGGCTACACAGAGAGACCCCATGGGGCAGGAGAGGGAAGATGTGTGTCCTCGTTTGGGGTCCTAATTAAGATTGCTCAATTGTAGAAGGTATTTATTGGATGAGCTGTAAAGTTGTGGTTTTATTACAATTCTTTTTTGTTTGTTTGTTTTTTGTTTTGTTTTGTTTTGTTTTTTCGAGACAGGGTTTCTCTGTGGCTTTGGAGGCTGTCCTGGAACAAGCTCTTGTAGACCAGGCTGGTCTCGAACTCACAGAGATCCTCCTGCCTCTGCCTGGGCAGTTGTGTTTTTAATTTGGAGGCATACCAATGGCACTTGAGCTGTGTTTGAGTCCTTCTTCAAGGTGAAGAAATAGAGACAGGATTATACAATGTCTCAGATTTGCTTGAAGATAATGCAGCTCAGGAGGTTGACAAGGAGGAAATAAAGCTGGGCTGGCCACATGTTGTTACCTGTGGAGCTTAGTGCCCAACACCAGGCTCTATCACACCGTGCTGCCTGCCTTCCAGGTGTTTAAATTTTTTTCATAAAAATCTTAGCGCCAGAGAAGAAGAGAGTAAAAAGGGTAATACAAGTATATCAAAAAGAAAACAAATTAGAAAAGTGTAGATTTAAATTAAATCAATTTTTGTTACATAAAAAAAGATAAAATGTTTCAACTAAAAGACAAAGATTGGGGTTGAAAAGATGGCAAGCAGTTAAGAGCATGTGCTACTCTTCAGTTCCCAACCAAAGTTGGGAAGCTTACAGATGCCTGTAACTCCAGACACAGGAGCAGCCATGCTGCACTTATGTACACACATATACACACAAACACATACACACACAATTTAAAGACAGTTTGTCACACTGGTTAAAAAGAATACTCTGAGTCACTATCCATTTAGAAGCTTTTCTAAATAAAAAAAAGAAACAAATAAGAAGAGTATAGATATAGACTCAAAATTACTTTGTTATTGATTTTATTAGTATTGTGTGAACTATTTTATTAGTATTTTATAAGATATCTTGGCTTTGTTGATTCACTTCATTTTATGTTTTTTATTTCTATAATTTATTCTCTTTTCTATCATTTCATTCTGATCTACCTGAATTTACTTCTATGTCCTTTATAACTTAATATGGATGCCTAAATTCTTAGTTTTTCTTTTTTCATCTTTAAGTACTGGGGCTCGGTCACACCAGGGCCTCACATGAGCTGGACAAGTGCTACGACTCATTTACATCCCCATTCCCAAAATTTTTCTTTTATAACTTATAGAGCTGAAGCTATTAATCTTCCTCTAAGACACAGGGGGAAAAATTAAAGACATTGTCTATGTGGCTCAGATTGGCCTTGAACAGGGGGATCCTCTTGCCTCAGCCTCCCAAGAATCAGAATATAGGTGCAACCTCACCACACCCAGCTTGTTTAAAACCTTTCCCTTGTCATCATGACACTGTCCCTGTAACTGGAGGGTTAACGCCTCTCCCGCAAGCTCACTGCATGCAGGATCCAGGCCATCCTTAAATTCCTAGGACTCATTGTGATGAGGGAGTCACCACTTCTTCAAAGTGTATGTCCTGAACAACTAACTGTGTGTGCTCATGCAGGGTAAGGGGAATACAGGGGCCTCTCCAACTGATTTCTGTTCCACATGACTGAGGCTGACAGAGGAAGTGAACAAAGTGGCCCTGCCGGGGAGTGGGAGCCACTGCATGGTGTGGGGAGATGCTGGCTGGAGCAGGCTCAGTGACCACCTACTGACTGTCAAGTGTCATTCCCATTGCTTTTCTCGGGTGGAAGCCTTGGTCCTGTAGATGTAAATGAAATGCACTGTCTTTTCTATCGAAGCGTTAAATGAGACAAAGGAGGTCCCGCCTTTAACAAAATTTATTTTAAAAAGGCATCTGGGAGAAAAAGTCCCTGTCCACCCTTCAGCATTTTTCTAAGATCCAAGTGTGTGCTTAAGGTTACTTCATACCCTCGGAAGTTGTACTTTGTTAATCAACTACGTTCATTGCTTTAAGTTAGCCAATCTGTAAGAATGAAAGACCCAGCTCTGATCACTCAGAGTGCAGTACAGACAAAAACACAGTGGGTGGCTCTGACTGAGTGTGCTCGCTCGCTTGCTTGTTTGCTTGCTTAGGCTTGGCTATACGAAGTAAAACTTCATGCTTTGCCAAGATACTTTGGATTGTGTGATCATTTTCTTGATATCCTAGACCCATTCCTAACAGTCCTAACAGAGGGAAAGGAGAGGAAGCCTAGTAGGGAGACATGAGCTCCATACCTGCCATAGGTGTCACCTGCACCAAGTAGCCAAGACTGCTTCCCTCTGCTTCCCTCCACTTCATCTGCAGCTGGTCCTCAGGCAGTACTGCCAACCTCAGACGGCCACTTACTGCAAAAATAGGATTGGAGGTTTGGGTGCAAGACAGACTTACCAGTGACCAACTGACCACCTCCTACAACTAGAGGGAGGCCTCCCCTAGGAGGTTTGAAGGGACATAGCCCCACCTAGGTGTCTGAAAATCTGTGGCCCCAGATTTTTCTGTGGAGGAAAACTCCTACATCCTTGGAATTTTTTTGGCAAGGCTGCAGTCCCTCCTTCAGTGGGAGGGAGTCTAACTCTACCCAAGGGAAAGCTCCTGCTGCAAAGGAGGCTTGGATAAGCACCTAGGAGGGCACTGTCTACCCTTTGATGACTAGAGGTACAACGATAAAACAGCAGCTGCTGACCCACTTCCCAGGGCCTTGGCAGATGCCTTGGGTCTTCCATCCTCAAGAATGACTGTAGAAACAGCTGTGATGCTGAAGACCCCTGCTCCCCCAACTGCCAAAGTCATGCTAAGTAGATGTATCCCTTGTGGGCAGACTGGGTAAAGGACCTCAGCTGCAGATGTGATGATGACTGTCTGCTTATGTGCACATGGTGTGTCTGTGTGCACCTGTGCCTATATGTGGGCATGTGTAGGATGCACACCAAGCTTCAGTCCTCATACTAAGTGATGGCGCTATGATGGTCAGCATTGTCAGCTTGACAGAATCTAAAATCACCTGGGATATCGACTGCAAGTATGCCTGCCCACAGGATTATCTTGATTTTGTAAACTGATGTGAACAATGTGGGGAGACACATTTTACTTACAGATGGAACTATTTTTTCGGCAGGAGATTCCAGACTAAATGACACTGAGATAGTGAGTTGAGCATTAGCATGCATTAACTTCTTTGCTTTCTGACAGTGGACGCAATGTGACCAGCTGCTTCAAGCTCCTGCTACTTTGACTTCCCTGCCATGAAGAACTACACCTTGACCCATGAGCTAAATAAACCCTTTCTCCTGTCACAGCAACAGAAAAAGAAACCAGGACAGGATAATCCTGTCCTGGAAGAGGGGGACCCCATGGTCACTGGGAAGGAGGCATCAGTGGAGTCTGTGCTGACCCCCCAGAAAGCTTCCGGGCTCTGTGGTGCAGGCAGCTATTTTTGGGAAATGGGGACAGAGGCCTTTTCTAGTCTCCTCACCATGTGCCGGGGCACAGAGAGATGGGCAAAGGCTGAGGGTGTCTGGGATAGACACAATGACCCATTCAGAATAAACTGTTTCCGGATGGCCTTGGCTGCTGACAGTCATCTACTGAAAGGCAGGAATGTGTCGGGATAAGGTGGGGGCTCTGACAGGCCAGCTGTGAACAGGGGTCCCCACTCTTGCCCATGAAGAGCCTTCTGTTTCTCCCCTTTCCCTGCAATGTGTTAGAGGCTTTTAGAACTTCCCTCTGAGACAGCACAGACACGTTCCCCTTCCCTAACATCAGCTGCACCTCCCAGCTGGTTGCTGGGCATGTGGGCCCTGTCTCTTTGGTTGGCCTCTGAGACCCCAGCCCACTCCAGTCATGACAAGGGCTGAGGGGCAGCCTGTCATGCTGAGACCTGAGGTGGGGGAGCAGTGGATTTGTGGGTCTTGCAGAATCACTCTAAGTTGGTTGTACAGCAAAGGCTTCTAATTGAAATCCCAGCCCACAAGCCCACCTTGGGTTCCACTGTCTGAACAAAGGGACCTGAGGGACTCTCCCATGTGGCAGTCACCTCCCTGGATGGTGGACATGCTGGGAAATGAAGTCTGCTGGGCTCCAGGTCAACCTGAGTTGGACCCACCTGCAGTGCAGAGGATAGTAGAGGACAGGAAGAGACAGATGTTCTTAACTGTGGATGAGGCTAGCCATTGATGTAACCCTAGAAACAGATCCAAACCTGCCAGGTGCTGTGAGGAACACACATATTGCTTCTGGGAGCTAGGTGTAGTCATGAGTGTGAAGGCTATAGGGACACAGCAACTTGCCTTCCAGGGACCCACCTGGGCCAGCAGCTTCACTGGAAGGAGTCTGCAACAAGGACCCTCCCCCAAGTCCTGTGCACATCCCTTGGAGGTCATGGAAGAAACCAGGGGAGCCTTTAACAGGGAGAGCAGCTGGAGTGCACAAATAGGAAGGGACCAGATGGAAACTCTTGTCCCAAGACTTGTACAGAGAGGAGGGATGTGCCACCTGTCTAAGACAGTGCAGGAAGGTCTTTTCTTCTTGGGAAGGAGGCAGGAATCTTGCTCTCAATTAAGTTGTGTGTGTGCTGTCTGAGACCACACTGAAAGGGTTACAGAGCAATGAAGCAATTAAATTTAAACAGGATTAAATTTGGAGTACGACAGTAATCTTGAAAAAGCTGAATCAAAGAAGCCTCCCCAAGTAAGGCTGAAAGACCACAAGGCCAAAGGTCAAGAGAAAAGCCGAGAATGAGGGCTCGCTCCCTCTGTTCTGACAGCTTGCCTATTGCTACAACAGCTTACATAGGCATTTAATCTGAGGAAGTGCTTGTTACAGAAGGCCAAAGGCTTGCAGAAGGGGTCCTCCTGCAGGCGGTGGGGTGGGGGAGATTGTCTCCTTACCTTGTCCCTGCCCCAGTGCCAAGGTGGCACTCAACATCCAGAGGCAGAAGTGGAGGTAGGAGCCTCGGGGGCTCATGGCGAGCAGCCTGTGGGAGGAGAGGCCACAGCCCTTCACCACTCATTCATCCGTCTGTCCCCTCCATGACCAGAAAGCTAGTTTCTCCATCCATTCCCATGGGCCAGCAGGATGTCTCTACATGTGTGGTGCCCAGAGGCCTACGACTTGTCATTATTGGGATGGTGACAATGAGGATCTAAGACCAGCACTGAAGTCATACTGGGAAGTCCCACTGAACAAAGGACCCTTAGATGCACAACCTCCTGTGTACTCCAAAGCACCCTCTGCTGGGAGCCAATCCTCCCTGAGTAGGGCCCAGTCCAGCATGCTTGTCCATGCCCCTTCTGGTGTTCACGTCCACAACAGATGCACACAGAGGGGGTCACCAAGAGTGGCAATACCTTGAGGCCCTAGCAGCCCCACATGGTTTCTGGGATTGGCTTGGTTAGAATCATACCATCAAGGTCTTCACATTGGGTGGCTTGCCCTCAAGCAAAGGAGACACTTGAGACCAAATTCTGATTAGAGCAGAAGCAGGCAGGCACATTGGGGGACACTGGGTAGGGTTGAAAAGTATTGGGGAACCTGGGAGACAATGTTTGGAAGAGGCCAATGGGGTAGAGAGGCCTAGTCCACTGCCCAGAGCTGGCACTTTGGAGGAGGGGCACAAACATGACCCAGTCTGGAATGTGTGAGCCTGAGGTGACCAGATCCCCCACCCCACTGAACAAAGGACCTACACAACTTCCCTATGTACTCAAGGGCACCTTCTGCAAGGAGTCCAGTTACCCCTGAGCAGGACCCAGATCTACAGGAAGGCTGCAGGTTGATGTATACACTAGAGCCGTAGTTCTCAACCAGGTCATGACCCCTGAGGGTTTGAACAGCCAGTCCACAGGGATGGCCTGAGATCATTGGAAAAACATTACATACTTACATTACAATTCATAACAGTAGCCAAGTTAGTCACAAAGTAGCAATGAAAATAATTTTATGGTTGGGGGTCACCACAAAACATGAGGAACTGTACTAAAGGGTCACAGCATTAGGAAGGTTGAGAACCACTATCCTAGAGTAGGCATACATCCACCCAGGGAATTTAAACTAAGGCCTCAGAGCTATGAATCCCTGTCCCATTTGTCTACAAGGTGCCACATAGATGGCCCTGACGGTCTGGACTCATTCTGAAGCCAGACCCTTTACTACTCATGGCCAGGCTGGTCACAGCCGATGACACCAGCAGTTCTGAGTGTCGTCTGAGACCCTCACAGGACCCCGAGGACCTGCTCAGGTGTCCAGGCAGCACTTGGTCCCTCTGCTTGTGAGCTAGCCCAATCTTTCTGAAGGTCAAAGTCATCCTCCAGCATAGCCCTGAGTGGATTCTCCCGTGGTCCCCTCACCCACCCAGCCAAGAGTCATAGATGAGTCACTCACCTCCTGCTCAGAGATAGTGCTACCCACTCAATGACTCCTCTTGGCCCTCCTGATCCAGATGTGCCCACTGGAAGGCTGGGGCTTATGAACGGCCCCTTCCCTGACATCACTTGGCCCGCCCTTAAGTCCCTCCCTTCTATCTGCTGCCGCCTAGGGCATGTTTCCAAGAATGAGATGGTGGTCCCAGCACAAAGGACCCCATTGCGTGCCACAATGGAAATCCCACTAGGGGCAGCAGGGAACAGCAAAAGCCTGTCCCACAGGCTTCTTGAGAACAAAGGCCAGTATGTGTGGTCCTGGGTGTCGAGTTGATAAGTGCTGGGCAATTGGAATCTCTGCCAGCCTATTTGGGGGGAAGAACCACATAGATTCTACCAACCACTAGGGCTCATGACTTCTATTCCCTTCCTTCCTGTTTACCCTAGAACCCAGCAGGTGCTTACTAGCAGGCCCATGCCTACACTACTTCCTCCTAGGATGCCCTTGCACTGTTTGCCTACCTAAGTCACTCCAGAATGAATGGGTTAGGCAAGCTCTGACCTCGGCAAAGCTCTTGGCAAGCTGGCCCAGTAGCCTAGGCCTAGGATAAAGCGGCCCCTGCTCCCATCTGAAGGTATGGCTTGTGAGGGTCCCAATGGGACTAGCGCAGCCTGGGATTTGTTTTCAACTACACATTGGCTCCAACCCACCATATATCCTAGCCTGATCAAAGTCCTGCCTCCCACCCACCCTAAGCCCTAGCTTAGCCCCAGAGCCCAGCAAGATCAGAAAGCTGTAGAACTGTCAGCCTTTCCTGTCTCACAAAACCCTGTGGGTCTCCCTACTGAGCTGCCCACAGGATGGACAGGGACTCATCCTAGGATATGCTCCTTGAAGCTGGATGACTTATATTCCACTTGGTCAGAGGTTATTCATGTCTGTGGGAACAGAAATTGCTAGGCACCTCCTCCATAGGTATTCTGCTGTGAGCTGAGCCACCTCACCTGTAGGTTGGTTATGGCTGCCAATTATTCTTGGTAGCCTCTCACATAACACCACCCTTGCCTGGAGACAACCTGAGCTACATACGGCCTTGGGCAAACCTGGCCAATGACACATACGTAATCCAGGCAAGTGGGGCACAGCCTTCCTTTTCAATGCCATGCTCTAACCCTGGGACCTTCCCTGTTCCTAAGGGCCCAAACAAATCCCACAACCTGGCATGTAGGCTCAGTCTCTGCAGACTTTCACTGTGGTCAGATGAAGGCACTCATTTAGGTCATCTCTGGGTATATGCATGTGTGGCCACAGCTTGCAGGCACCCTGGAACACTGTGGTGCGTTCAGTGGCACCTCAGCACTCCGTTGCACTGTGATCCTCAGGTGGACTACCCTGTATCTTCTACTTCTCACAGCCCGGTGATGCCCTGGAAGTCTTTAAACCAGCACAATGGTCCCGCTGACCCTGTTCCTAGCAATGGCATGTGTACACCCCATTCCCAAGCTCTGGGATCCATGCCATAACCCATGTAAACCAAACCAGAGCAGAGTGCCCTGGAGTCTGCTCATTTTTCTCCTGGACCACAGCCTGACAGTAGGGGACCTGAAGACATGAGTGACAACACAAGTAATCAAGTGTGTTGACTGTGAAGTGGGTTAGTGGACACTCAGAATATTATCAGTAGGGCTGACCCAAAGTGCCCTCTGGTCTGGCTGGTGTTTTGGGCAGAAAGTCTGGAGCAAAGCCTGACTTGACTGGAGCTGCCCACACTCCCCACAGCTAGCCAGAGGCCAAGACCAATTTCAGCTAAGCACCAACTCCACTAAGGACACTTGGTGGGAGACCATGCATCAGTATCAGCATCAGCACCACCCCCTGCCCTTTAGTGCTACCAGTGGACAAGACCCTCTGGGGGCCACTACTCATGCAGGGGGCTCCATGCTTCCCCACTGGACATCTCTTGGCCAAGGCCAGGAAGATGGAAGGCAGAGGAAACCTATCGCCTGCCCCAAGGATGTGGAGTCTCTGGAGAGCATGGCCCAGGAATGGCCACCTACCCAAGCCACAAGCTCAGGGCCAGTCCAAGATACCACCACCTGCTCTCCTCTCCTCTCACCTTCCAAGCTACCCGGCAACCATAGAGGCAGCCAGGTCACCCATGTCCAGACAACTGACATAAGTCTAACCAGGCCTATCCTGGAACTGTTGCCTCCCTGAAGCCCAGAAGTACCTGGCAAGTATTTGTCCACACGTACCCAAGAGGGATAGGGTCCTCTAGGGTTTGTGTTTGTAGGCTATAGTCTAACACAATCCCCATATACAGGCTCCAAAAACCAGCCAAAGGCTCCAGTACCTTGACTTGGGCCTTACTTGCCCTTTCCTTTGAGGGCTTGTACAAGTGGTCTGAAGGGCTCTGGGTTGTTAGAACAATCCTCAAAATTTGCAGTCTCTATTTACTGAACATAGGTAGGTAGCGAGGGCCATTTCCCACTCCTAAAATGACCTGAAGCAAGCAGCTTCCCAGACCGACCAACAGATTTCATCCCCATTATGTCACCCCATGTCCATGGACTCTCAGTCTCTGCTCTGGGAATGTTCCAGCACTTGGTTTAGGTTTTTCCTCCATGCTCAGACTTCCTTGGCGTTTGACCAACTTAATGTGTGCTCCCACAAACCTCATGGCTTCTCACTGCAAGTCTCTGACCTCTGGTCTCATCTACCTGTGATTGCTGTCAATCACAAGAGTTCTGGGTATCTCCCCTTGCTTTCCTAGCTCAGAGATGCTCTGTGACACAACTGCCGAGCAGTATCCATGTCCACTTGAGGATAAAGCAGCTAGAAGGGCTCCCCAAACCTCAGGCCTATCAGTACTGCAGAGAACTATGAATCCCCAAGGTGAGCCAAGCACAAGCGCCTTAGGGTCCAGACAGCTCAACCCCAGGAAGTAGAAGCAAACATGACACACACAAACCACACAGAGCTTCAGGTCATGCACTGCTGGTCAAACTGAGAGTCAAGACAGGAGTGGGTTTAAGGAGACAGAGACCCAGCTGGGCTCTCCAGCCACAGCACACAGCAGTCATGGAATCCTGGGAGGAAAAGGCTGTCACAACAACCACTGATAGCACATGGGTCTCAACTGCAGTGTTCCACAAAGTCCACAGGGTGGTAGGTGAGGCTGTCTGGAGGGACAGCTGCATGCTGAGGAGACATGGCCAAGTGTGCTCTGACCCTGAGCACCCTCAGCAGGCTGAGAGAAGGCCTGAACTGTCGTAGACACAATACATGGCAAAACACCAACAGGTGCTCTACCTAGATGGAGGCTCCCCATCAAGATGCCCAACCCTGGCAGGGGCAGTTGGCCCCATAGCCCACCCTCCATGTTCAGGCTCCCCTGGGCTGGGCAGGAGCAACAGATATGCTGAAAACACTCCCAGCCTCTTTACTCTTTCCTCATTTCTGAGCTGTCCAGGGCTGGCCAAGTTCAAGTCAGGTGTCCAGGGAGGGGCCAGAGCCCAAGCTGCCATGTGTGGCCATCTGTGGAGGTTCTCCCATGAAACTGAGGGCTGGACAGGCTGATGCAGGAAAGGCAGAGGGTCACAAAGTGAGTTTCACAGCACAGGCCACAGGACGTGGACTTAGGTGAGGACGTCGGTGGCAGTGCAAGCTCCAGTATTGCTTTTGTCATTTCATTTCCAGCCTTAAGACTCCAGGCATTTTCTTCAAGGGAAAAAAAAAAGAACTAGAGCAAACCTTTCAAGTTTTAAAAGACACTTCAACAAAAGCAGATGTCTGGCTTGGCTGACACTGCACAGGACTGCAGTCCCAGGCTGTGCCAGGGCTGCAGAGATAGTGCCTGGGCCCCAAGAACCCAGAGTCCAGGAAGGCTGCTCAGAGGACCCAAGAGGCCGATGGATGACATGTCCCCTGAGGCCTAAGAGAAAGCCACCCCACACCAGGCAGGCAGCACCGACTCAAGTCCTGCCTGAGCCACTGTCTTCACACGAAAGAGGAACAAGAGGGTAAAGTGCAAACACAGCAGTCTCCCAGCAGATCTGGGGCCAAGGGGCAGCAAGGCTCCTACCAGTTCTGGTTGTCCCAGCCCTCATCAGTGGCCGTAGATGGGGTGGCCTTCTTGGTGGCCTTGGCCCTGCCCTCCCCACTGGCTCCCTCCCAGCTCTCCCAGCCATCACTATTGCTGTTCTTGTTGTTGGATGCGGAACCTGAGCCCCAAACATCCCAGCTGTCCGAGCTCCTCCTTCCTGTTGAGGCATCTGCATAGGTCCAGCTGTCACTGCTTGGGGACTTGGCCTTGGGGGGCTCAGAACTCCCGAAGGTCTCCCAGAAGCTATGGTCTATGGTGCTGTTCTGGGAGTTGTCTCCGCTGCTGTTTTGGTAGCTGTGGCCCTCGAAGGGTCTATTACAGAGAGGAACAGAAGCTCAGTAGTTATCACAGAAGCTGGGCAATCTGCTCAGGTCTCAGGCACTCTCTAGAACAAGTCTCTCCACTTCCCAAGCCCAGCCTACATTTGATCAGGACTAATGGCTAATGCCTACGACAGCTCCAAGCTCTCTTTCTGGCTAGACAGGCTGCTGTCCTTTCAAGTGCTTCCTAGCCACCCTTGTAGGGTCAGAGTACCCTACTAAGTGAAGGACCCTTTTCTTTGAGAGTTGACTTTGCCTTGGTAAGGTCCACCCTAGAGTATTTCACTCTTATGATTGTTAATTATAGATACTTTACACTGTTAAGTTTAATCCTCTTTTAGACTAAAAGGAGAATTGTAGGGAACACCCTAACCATGCCTCCTGGGGGCTGGCTACAGGTGTGCCTGACCACGCCCATGAGGGTGTGGTCAGGGTGACATGGGGAAGGTTTAAGAGTGAGGGGCAGGAACATGGTAGCCCCTTCTTCCCTTTTATCAGCTTGCTCTACTTACTTTGGTCTCTGCCAGCTGGCTAGGTTGCTCTGTAAGGCATCTCCCTAATAAATACCCTAATATCTTTACAAAGACTCTGCATTGGTAATTCACCCTTTACCCTGGTGCTGAGGGCATGGAACTTTTAGAAGGGACTGAGTTCCTCCCGCTACCCCCAATACATATTCCCAACCCTCACCCAAACTGTAGGGCATCTACTAGGGCACTGGGAAGAGCACACAGCCTTCTGCCCATGAGCCAGGGGCCCTGGGGGAGGGGGGTCAAAGGGCAGTCACTTTGCCTCTAGTAAAGGACTATGTATACGACACAGGGCAGGGGATGTTAGGCCAGGCCACCAGGGCCTGGGGTGGGGACATGGCCTACCTATCTGAAGTGTCCTCTGTTTTCCCCGAAAAGAAAGTAGTGACATCACGCCATCCCTTGCTGCCAACTCCCTGGACCTAGAAGGAGACATGAAAGAAGCTGGGGTCCCACACTACATAGCACCTCTGGCTCTTAAAATATAACAAAAATGGATGCTGCTCTGCTGAGAAGACCTGGACAAAAACTGGAGGAGTGTCATGTACAGACACATGCACACGTATGTACACAGTAACACAGCAGCAGTGCTAAAGCAACACTCTCTCTGCAGTCTCTGCAGAAGCAGCTCCTATGTGGACAAGACAATGTCACATGAGTAGTAAAAAGCATGGCCTTATGCCAGGTGGCGGCAGCACATGCCTTTAATCCCAGCACTCGGGAGGCAGAGGCAGGCAGGTCTCTATGAGTTCAAGACCAGCTTGGTCTACAAGAGCTAGTTCCAGGACAGCCTCCAAAGCCATAGAGAAACCCTTCTGGAAAAACCACACACACAAAAGAAGGCATGGCATTCCCAAAGTCACACTCAACACTTTGGAGGTGTTCAAAAGTTTTGAGCTACCACAGGTCTTGTCTTTACCACAGTGCAATGAAGGTCTTCAGGAGGTGTCCTCCATTGCCATCATGTTGGGAAACGATGACCCCACCCTTATTCCACCAGGCTCTGAAGAGGTCACAAGACCAGCAACAGCTAACAATGGCATTGGTACTTACCAGGGTCAAGCCAACAGCAGCAAGACAGAAAAGAAACACAGGTTAGTGGCTGGCAAGTCCCCATTAACCAAGCTGTTTCCATATTCCTCAAGCCCTCAGAAATCAGAGGGTAGTGGCCACTGCCTCAGCTGGCCCAAGGCCCGGTGGGGCTCCAGGGTCTGGAATATGGAAACTGGCTTTGGCTGTGCAAGTCAGCAGAGTAGCCCTACCTTGGATGCCAACTGAGAGACCCCACTGGACACATCATCAAAAATCCTTCCCTCCTTCACCTGTGCGATTTAAAGGGCACTGTTAGGAGGACTGAAACTTCAGAGTGCAGAGAGATCTGTCACGTTAAGTTCCTCAAGTTCTACCAGGAGCCCATCTGGCTTCAGCTTCCTAAGAACTCATCACTAAGGAGGAACCCGTGACTTCCTGGAAAAGCCAACTGCTGTTCAGACTCCTGTTGTGAGGAAGGATGAGGACTACTGACTCCTCCCAGGGCTAATACCCTTCTAAAGAAAGTGCCACTGCCTGTGGCCAGGCCACTAGAGTAAAACAGAAGGAAGAACAAGTTCAGAGACACCCTTGGAAGCTAGCTGGGGGAATTAAGGAGCCCAAGGCCACCTGGACCAGAGAAAATTATAGGCAAGATCTTGCTGATCCCCCAATATACCCATTTCCCCGGTCAATAGAGAGCCTCAGTGGTACACACAAGCACCTTAACCGTCACCCATACCTTCTCCTGTGCAGGCTTGAGAACATTCTCATTCAGGCTGTGGCCCAACTCCGAAGCCTGTGGAAAGGGACACTATGTGAGCTTTACATGCAGCAATATTAGTTGCTGGACAGTAAGCACGGGACAGCACAAGCTTTGCCAACAGGAAGGAAGGCAGTGGGATTATGGATACACATGGGGAAGCAGAGTCATAGAAGTGACACCAGAATGGAAGAACCAAGGTATGAAGGAAGTTCCCTCACAATGCTGGGAGCAGCGCTGGCTCTAGTCCACAGTACAGACACGGGTCTGCTAACTGCAGGCACCTCTTCCCGAAGTAGGCACTGAGCCTTCCATGGGAGAAAAGCCTATGTGGGTGGCTCGGTGGAGGAAGGAGAAAAGGGTGGGGCAGAGAAGTAGCAGATACAGCCTCTCCTGGTGCCACCACGGTAATGGCTGTGAAGCTTTGAGTCACCTTAGGAATGTGACTTGCTGGGACCTTAACCTCAAAGCAAGACCAGATAAAAGGTTTGAAGGGGGATAAGTCATTAACATAGGAAGGTGTGATTTCAGGCATTACCTTATTTGGGATAATTAATCCACAAAATAAAAACCAAATTCAGAAGCCTTTCTCTCCAGAGCCCACCGGGCCCAGACAACCTTGCTCAGGGAACACCAGGGCTATGGATCTTGGGGAAGATGAGCTTCCAGCACCAGCAGGACAGGAAGGTGACACTGGTGACCCACGCACAAAGGGAGATGCAGCCAGGAGCAAAGCACATGCTTAGCAGACAGGGGGCAGCATGCACCAGTGAAACAGGGTTTTACCGGCTCTGACTGCTTGTAACCCCAAAACTTGACCCAGTAGGCACGAAGGCAGTTACAGAGAAAGAGCAGGTGGTGGGAGTCGCATTAGCAATGCCACAAAGGAAACACACCCCTCACCTTTGTCATAATGCAGCCCTTTAACAACCCTCAGCTGCCTGATTGCTGGGCTTACAGCTGTGTACCACCATACCCTATTATTAACTACATCAGAACCATACCCATCTACACCGAACTACTTTGGACCTCAGCATCATTATTTCTCTGCTCCAAATTTATCACAATCCAGACTCCCATGATATGCCAGAGGA